TCCCGTGTTAATCTAATGTAATTATTTTGCACTATAGCCTATTTATTGCCTTACCTCCATAACTTGCTACATTTGCACACACTGTATATATATTTTCTGTTGTATTTTTTGACTTTATGTTTTTTTACCCCACATGTGTTGTTGTTTTTATCGCACTGCTATGCTTTATCTTGGCCAGGTCGCAGTTGTAAATGAGAACTTGTTCTCAACTGGCTTACCTGGTTAAATAAAGGTGAAATAAAAAATAAAAAAATAAAAAAAGATACTCCAGTGAGTGTAATTTGCTCAATATTAGGACAATATTAGGAGTTGAGAAATAAGGTTGAGATCATAGAAAATTATATATTCTCATATTTTCTACTGTAGGTAGCTATGTAAAAATATATTTGTTTCACTTAAAAAAAAAAAAAATATATATTTATATATATATTTTCGTGGGCCCCTGCAGTACCTCGCGGACCCCATGTTGAATACCCATGGGCTAGTGCACTGCTCCTCTGGTTGAGTAGCTAACGTAGCTACATCTCACAAAGCTTTGCAGTTCTGAATCGCGCTACTAGGCTAAAAGCTTTACCAAAGTAGCCCCCACACTGACACACATATCCAATCTCGGGCTGACGGTGAAACAGAGAACCAACCATTCCGTAGCTATGGATAACCGTTCACGGGCATCATATAACGGTAATTCTTGACGTGTCCCTACAACAGCTATTCGGGATGATTCGACTCTGACTGGTAGGTTATCATTCCTTTGACACTTAGCTAGCTAACGCTAGCTAGGCTAATGCTAGCTAACTGGTTGTGTAGCCATGTGACTAGCTAGCAAACGTTACAGCGTTTTAGCGAGGGATTGTGTCCAGCAGTTAAGTGTCGGTCAGAGAAGAAAGTACAAGCTTCGGTAACTGAAGGCTTGCTGAAGAAAGATGGCAAGCTTGCTAGCTAATGCAGCAAGGTAACTTTACCTGCTAGTTATCTGGCTAACAGGCTAAGTTGTTATGGTAACAGACAAACGTCAACCTGTCATTCTAGCTGCTATCTATCTATCTATCTATCTATCTAACTAGCTAGCTAGCTGACTACCAACGTCAGGCATGACAGCAAGAATCACATTTTATGGTGTCTGAATGATATCAGATTTGACCCCTTGAGCGACCTAGCTAGCTAACTCATTTGAAATTGAATGACAGCTGAGCTTTGACTAGCTAACTTAGCTAGCTGGTGCACTGATATCTGTTAGGACTTAACTAGCTAACTTAGCTAGCTGATTTAATGATTACACTAGACAATTATTATAACTAGCTAGATCCTTGATATATTGATACTGGTTTGCTTCACACCTTACACTAACGTTAACCCACACACAGGGAAATCACCATGACCTATTGAGCTTTATACCACTTCACTGATTGCTGCTGTTTTCATTCACAGGTTACTATACATTTCCACAAACAAGGATATTACCACCCCTCGGGGCAGCAGGGGAAAAGGCGCCCCCCAAAAACTTGGAAAAACCACAAAACCCAAAAAAAAATAAAACCCCGGTCGGGCTTAAAAAGGGGTTGAAACAGAAGGGGAACAAACCTTTTTCCGTAGGCAAAATGGTTTTTAACCGTTTAAAGGCATCATTTTTTTTAAAAACGGAAATTTCCTTCCCGGTCCCAACACCCTAATTTTATGGGTCTAAAGGGATTTACCCTTTTTTTTTGACCCCTTAGCAAAGGCTAAAAAGCAAAAAGCTGGGGTTTTAATCTAGTTTTAACTTGTTGTTTTGCCTGTACTGTTAAAAACTTAAAACCCCCCAAATTTTTGGGAGGGGGGTTTAAGATTAAACCTAGAAAAAATTAAATTTGGTATAAACCTTGTAAAAAAAGGGGGTTTGCTTCCAAAGCCATAATTTAACCCCAACAAAAAGGGGAATTTTACCGGACCTAAGGAAGTTTTTTTAACCAAAAACGTAAATGATTCTGCTGGTTTTCATTTCACATTTACGATACTTTTCCCCCAAAAAAGGAATTTTACCAAAACCCTTTTATTTTATTGTTGGGGGGAATACATTTTTTGGCCCCTTCATTTATTGTATTTTAAAGAATAAAATCCGGGGAATTTTGGGATGGCTATTACACCTGGGCCTGTTTTTCTTTTAAAGGAATTTAGTTTTTTCTCTTGAAAAGTTTCCCAAAAATTTATTTTAAGGGGCCCCCCCATTATTTTGGTTTCCCACGAACCTGTTTTTTTAACCCCCCAAAAAACCCCTTTCCAAGGCAAATTCACTGTTTCTGGGGTTTTTTTAAGGTTAAATATAAAATTTCCACCGGGGGGTTTTTAAACCTTTTTGCAGCCTTTGAAACCCAGGAAAGGGCCCCTCATTTTTTTTTTGCTTTTGGTTTCCTTTATTAAATATCACTCTGGACCTTCTTTTTCCCCAAAAGGAATTTAGCATACTTAAGGGGCCCCAACAATTATTTTTAAATTAAAAACCCTTTTTAAATTTTTTTTTGAAACCCCGGGTTTAAAATTGGGGTTTCCCCTCCCCCAGGCGGGGGCACCAGGCCCTTAATTTAAAAATCTGCGGAAGGGGCACCGGGAAATCATCCCTTTTTTTGGGTTTTTTGCCATGGGTAGTTTTTTGGTTTTTTGGAACCCCAAATTTGTAAAAACCCAAATTCCGGGAATCCCCCTTAACCCCCAAAAAACCCGCTTTTCTAAAGGGAAATTTTTCTGGTAAAGGGGTACTTTTAGGCCCAGGTCCCTTTAAAATTTAATTATCCCCCGGGCCAGTCCCTTTTGAAAAAAACATCTGCCTGCCAAGCCCTATCCTTTTTTTTTTTTTTTTTTGGGGGCCAAACTGGGGGAAAGGGGTTTTCTGGTTTTCCCCGGAGCCCTTTCTTTTTAAATTAAGAATGGGACTCTGGCTGTGCTGAATGATTAGACGCAGCCCTGGGAGTTGGACTGGACCAAAGGATCGCGCACACACACATACGCACACAGACACACACCAGACACGCGGAGACAGTAGGTTCCCTGTTTGAGCCCCTGCTGTTTAGAGCTTGTTTTTGTGTGTGTGTGTGTGTGGGGGGGGGGGGGTTCTCCTCTGCAATCTCAAAGGTTTGGAGGATGGTTGAGCACAAGGGCCACTTTGAAGGAGCCCGGCGGTGGCTGAGGTTTGGCGGGAGCTGACAGACTGTTTGCCAGCTACTGCTGATTAAGTACCCTGTGTCCCTCACCGCCTCTAAACCCCTACATCCCCCTCCTCTGCCAACCGTTCCGCCCCTGACTGCTCTGGTGAATGGAGGTCTAGAGGAGCACAGGCAAGGTTGGAAGGGTACCGTTGCTGACGCTTTTCCAGCCGGGCACTTTTTGCGCTCCATGGACTGCGTTCCACTCTGTCCTCATTAAGGACCCTTTCCCTCTGTCTTGGGAGTAAATACTACAAGTCAAGGTTGTTTTTTCTCTCCTAAAAAAGCTTTTCTACGGGCTGAAGGATGAAGCTGAAGAAGCAGGTGACGATGTGTGGAGGAGCCATATTCTGTGTGGCCGTATTTTCCCTGTACCTGATGTTGGACAGGGTACAACACGACCCTGCAAGGCGACAGAACGGCGGTGGGAACTTCCCAAGGGTAAGACATTATCTATAGACATAGCACCGCTTGTTAGTTAGCTTGTTAGTCTCTAAATCCTTGTCTGCAATCAAACACCATGTTGTTGTGATACATCTCACTGTGGTGTTAAAAGCCAGAGGCAGTACCTTCGAAACAGTTTTGTGAACACTTTTCCTGTGATATTGAGTTACATCAAAGCTTTAATTAACAAACGTTAACATTTATTGGTGAGATGCACACATGTTTGAATAATTAATATCTATAATCTATACATAATTTATTTTGTACTGTAACCTGAGAGGCAGTCAGTTAGTTATTTTCATAAACACACCTTATGTAGAGTCTAGAGGCCCAGCCACCACAGCTGAACTGTTTGGCAGCAACAAAGCTTTGTGATTGATTATGTTTACAGACCTGCTCCAGCAACAGTGTGTATATTGAGGCCTGGATTTGATTGTTTCTGACAGGATTTTAGTGATGTTACCCCAAACTAGTTTTGCAGTATTTTCTGTAGAGCTTTCGATGTGGCAGTTGGCTTGAATAGAATCCATAAATATACAGAACACAAATATAAATGCAACATGCAACAATTTCAAAGATTTTACTGAGTTACAGTTCATATGAGGAAATCAGTCAATTTAAATAAATTCATTGGGCCTTAATCTATGGATTTCACATGACTGGGAATACAGATATGCATCTGTTAGTCACAGATACCTTTTAAAAAATGGGCCTCACAATGGGCCTCAGCAACTCGTCACAGTATTTCTGTGCATTCAAATTGCCACCATACCATAACCCCGCTACCACCATGGGGCACTCTGTTCACAATGTTGACATCAGCAAACCGCTCGCCCATGCGACGCCATAGACGTGGCCTGCCAATTTCTCTAAAATAACGTTGGAGGCGGCTTATTTCCTTTGGGGATGGGACAGTGAAGTAGTGTCAAATAAAACAATAAAAAATATTTCTCACATGCTTAGTAAACAGGTGTAGACTAACAGTGAAATGCTTACTTAAGGGTCCTTTTCCAACAATACAGAGTTAAAGATAAATAGAATAAGAAATAGAATAAATACACAGTGAATAACGAGTAAAAATAACATGGCTATATACAGGGAGTACCAGTACCGAGTCGATGTGCAGGGCTAAGAGGTAATTGAGGTAGCTATGTACATATAGGTAGGGGTAAAGTGACTAGGCAACAGGATAGCTTGTAGCAGCAGCACAGGGAGTGTGAAAGTGTGTGTGGCGTAAGTATGCATGTGTGCGCATGTTATGGTGTGTGTGTGTTGGGGTGTCGGCGTAAGTATGTGTGGGTAGAGTCCAGTGTGTGTGTAGACTCAGTGCAAGGGAGTTGGTGCAAAAATCCATCCATCCATCCATCCATATAGGCTAGCTAGTCCTGTTTAGCACCCCCTGTGACGTTCATCCCCATTTTTCCCCCGGGGTCCTTTTCCTCCTGCGTTCTAGAGCCAGATCTCTGTTCTGCAGAACCGCATAGAACAGCTGGAGCAGCTACTGGAGGAGAACCACCAGATCATCAGCCACATTAAGGACTCTGTTCTGGAGCTGACCGACACCGGCGCTGTGTCCCCCAGTGGACAGCTGCCCTTCCGCAGTGCCAATGGCTCCTGGATCCTGCCCTTCGACGGACGCCCCACCTTCCTCTCCGTCAAGCCCCAGGACTGCCAGTTTGCCCAGGGCCGCCGCGGACAGACCGACCTGCAGGTGACCTGCTCTCCAGGGACTGTCTGGTCTGGGAGGAACTCTGTTGTTCTGTTGGCCATCAGTAGGCCATACAGTTGAAGTTGGAAGTTTACATACACCTTAGCCAAATACATTTAAACTCAGTTTTTCACCATTCCTGACATTAATCCTAGTAAAAAATTCCCTGTATTAGGTAAGTTAGGATCACCACTTTATTTTAAGAATGTGAAATGTCAGAATAATAGTAGAGGGAATGATTTATTTCAGCTTTTATTTCTTTCATCACATTCCCAGTGGGTCAGAAGTTTACATACACTCAATTAGTATTTGGTAGCATTGCCTTTAAATTGTTTAACTTGGGTCAAACGTTTCGGGTAGCCTTCCACAAGCTTCCCACAATAAGTTGGGTGAATTTTGGCCCATTCCTCCTGACAGAGCTGGTGTAACTGAGTCAGGCTTTTTCAGTTCTGCCCACAGATTCTCTATAGGATTGAGGTCAGGGCTTTGTGATGGCCACTCCAATACCTTGACTTTGTTGTCCTTAAGCCATTTTGCCACAACTTTGGAAGTATGGTTGGGGTCATTGTCCATTTGGAAGACCCATTTGCGACCAAGCTTTAACTTCCTGACTGATGTCTTGAGATGTTGCTTCAATATATCCACATAATTTTCCTTCCTCATGATGCCATCTATTTTGTGAAGTGCACCAGTCCCTCCTGCAGCAAAGCACCCCCACAGCATGATGCAGCCACCCCCGTGCTTATTGGGATGGTGTTCTTGGCTTGCGAGCATCCCCCTTTTTCCTTCAAACATAACGATGGTCAAACAGTTATATTTTTGTTTCATCAGACCAGAGGACATTTCTCCAAAAAGTACGATCTTTGTCCCCATGTGCAGTTGCAAACCGTAGTCTGGCTTTTTTATGGCAGTTTTGGAGCAGTTGCTTCTTCCTTGCTGAGTGGCCTTTCAGGTTATGTCGATAAAGGACTCGTTTTACTGTGGATATAGATACTTTTGACCCTGTTTCCTCCAGCATCTTCACAAGGTCCTTTGCTGTTGTTCTGGAATGGATTTGCACTTTTCGCACCAAAGTACGTTCATCTCTAAGAGACAGAACGCGTCTGCTTCCTGAGCGGTATGACGGCTGCGTGGTCCAATGGTGTTTATACTTGCGTACTATTGTTTGTACAGATGAACGTGGTACCTTCAGGCGTTTGGAAATTGCTCCCAAGGATGAACCAGACTTGTGGAGGTCTACAATTCTTTTTCTGAGGTCTTGGCTGATTTCTTTTGATTTTCACATGATGTCAAGCAAAGAGGCACTGAGTTTGAAGGTAGGCCTTGAAATACATCCACAGGTACACCTCCAATTGACTCAAATGATGTCAATTAGCCTATCAGAAGCTTCTAAAGCCATTACATCATTTTCTGGAATTCTCCAAGCTGTTTAAAGGCACGGTCAACTTAGTGTATGTAAACTTCTTACCCACTGGAATTGTGATACAGTGAATTATAAGTGAAATAATCTGTCTGTAAACAATTGTTGGAAAAATTACTTGTGTCATGCACAAAGTAGATGTCCTAACCGACTTGCTAAAACTATAGTTTGTTAACAATACATTTGTGGAGTGGTTGAAAAATGAGTTTTAACGACTCTAACCTAAGTGTATGTAAACTTCCGACTTCAACTGTATGTGTGTGTAATTGTTAACATGCTGTCTCTTTTCTATGTGGCAGATTTAAGGTGATGGGTTACAGATATCATGTGATTTGCCTCTGTTCTCTCTACCCCCCCCCCCCCCCCAAATAATTATTTGTTATTTTTTACTTTGGCTTATATTCTAAACCTAAGGCAGAGATAAGTCAGCCATCTTTGGTCTGTTGCCTTCCAGATGCTGGACATATACTCCCTGTTGAAGTTTGACAATGTGGATGGGGGTGTGTGGAAGCAGGGCTTTGAGATCCTCTATGAGCCTGGGGAGTGGGATAATGAACCGCTGCAGGTGTTTGTGGTCCCTCATTCCCACAACGACCCAGGTGAGACATGGCTCTAAAGCAAGGTTCTTCAGGGCACATCGTAGCAAACAACGTAGCAAAAGACGAAGGAAGGCAAAGTCTAGGGAAGCAAAAAAGTGATAGAAAAAAATAGTTTTTCCTTTTTTTATTCTAAGCAAAAAACTAAACCTTGATTGAGTTATTACCTGCAATATTAAGCAGATGACCTGATTGACAAATGGAGTGACACAATGACATTAGAATGCCAACTTCTAAGCTATTTTTAGATTAGAATGGCTGTGTATTGGCACAAGATTTGATTTTAGCCAGAGACTGACAGTTCCATTAGATTTGTTTACAGCCAGTGCAAGGCCAGCTAGCTAACTTGACAGTTATTGACTTGTTGACCATGGTAGAAACCGTAAAGTTTTGTCATTCAATAACAGGAATAGCCATTCAATATGGTTCCATTTTAATTAGTATAGACTTTGCTCTTTACCAAGATGTCACTGAGTAAATGTTCACATCTTGTCCTGGGTCTGTGGAGAGCTATGAGAGACCACTGAGACTGTTGTCAGTGAATTCAAAAAAGCAGTTTTCTTTGTTATGGGATGTTCTCTCTAAAGGCCAGAGCTTTTAAGGTTTAACAAGACTGCAGGTGAAGTGAAGTAGGTCAAACGGCAGGACTGGCACAGAGTCAGTCCTGCAGACAACGCAACGGTAAAAGGCCCCTTTCACTGTCGGTCCTCTAGTCTAGTTGGTTGATCTACTTTCTACCAGTCTGTGCATCCAGTGGCGTGGACTACTATGGTTTAGTCTGTTAGCATAGTGCTCTATAGATGAGTTAGTGCTAGGCTACTCTGTTGATGTATTGTAGAGTAATCAACTTCTCTCCTTTCTGAGAGATTCATGGACTTTTTGCCTGTGTCTCAGCCTCTTTGACAATACATTCAAGAAGTTCATTGTAAGGCACAGTTACTGTTCTGTTTAAATAATAAAACCGGGGTGTTAGTTGTAATACTGCACAGCTCTGTTTTGGTTGGTACTGTACCACTGACCTGCTTTTACCCCTCTTGTCATGGCAAAATCCAAAATACATGATAATAAATAGTACAGTACTGTGTCTGTCAGGGGGGTCGATGGTAGATTCACTCTTCTGACTTCTTTATTCTTCATCTTCTATTCATGTCTGAAACTGTATTGTTGCGCTCATCACCTCTGTGCTGCGATCTCGTGTCCCGACAGGCTGGATCAAGACATTTGATAAGTACTACACAGATCAGACGCAGCACATCTTCAACAACATGCTGGTCAAGCTGACTGAGGACCCACGCAGGAAGTTCATTTGGTCTGAGATCTCCTTCTTCGCCAAGTGGTGGGAGAGCGCCGACATGCACAAGCAGGAAGCCATGCGCAAGTACGTATCTCACAGTCACAGCACTAGCTCTCAAACATCTTACTACAACACAGTTTAAGTCTGCCACTGTTGGTTCTTCCCTAAAGTATTTGAGCCGTCCTTTGAGGATTGCCCACACAGGGAAGAGTCAATAGTGGCAGTCTTGGTAGATTTTAATTAAGTTGTTGTAGTGTAGTAATACAGTATTTGACATGTGTATATATGATATTATAAATACCTCTCATGCGACTCGTAATTAGACTAAGCAATTAGCCTATTAAAATGTTTATCTGACTCCATAAGAAAAATAGCAATATGCAAGAGACTTTAGTTGAGTTACAGTAATATGCAATGAAGAAATGTCTTAGAATGGAATTCTAAATAAAGTGTATTTAATTACTTTATCAAATGAATGATAACATTATACAAGGCATAAGCTTAAGTTACAAAGCATTAACAAGCATTATAAGGCATTCTAAGCATGGTCAGAGAGAGAGAGACAAAGAAACCAAGGCTTGTGCCATGGCCAAGAGCTCATGGAAGAGAGAGAGAAAGGGTGTAGGTATCTCACCACAGCAAGTCAGGAACAAATAAGAAAGAACAGAGCATCTAAGACCCTTTTATAAGCATCTGAGTTGTTTGCATTCAAAAACTGAGTTGTTGACCAGTAGTATTACTAGTAGTAAAGTTAACCTCGAATCAGATATCAGATCTACAGGATGTAACCTCTGCTTCTCAGAGGTGAGACAATGGGGGTTGGCAAGATCAACACAGAGAATGCTGAATTCCTAAGACAACACAGAGGAATTTCTTGCATACAGTTGATAAGAAAAGTCACTTCGGGGGCTGGCCCTACATTGTTGTTTTCTGTAAGCAGGAACTCGCCCAGCTGTGAATGTCTACCCAACTTGCAAAACTGTATTTTTTCAGTATCACTTACCGCAGTGTAAACAACCTGCCAGGCCACATTAGCAGCGTGATCTACAGTAATTAGCTAATGAGCTCCACATCTCCCTTGGCAAAATAGCTTGTTATTTGGTTGAAGCGGTGGCTCTGAGTAAGCGTTGGCTTTTCAAATAATTTTATTTGTCACATACTTCGTAAACAACAGGTGTAGACTAACAGTGAAATGCTTACTTACGGATCCTTTTCCAACAATGCAGAGTTTTCCTCACCTCTCTACTGTGTGGATGTCTTAAATCCTCTATCTGTCTCAGGCTAATCCTGGGAGGGCAGCTGGAGATGGTGACCGGAGGCTGGGTGATGACTGATGAGGCCAACGTTCACTACTTTGCCATGATTGACCAGCTCATAGAGGGCCATCAGTGGCTGGAGAAGAACGTGGGTAAGGGACACGCTTCCCCTCTCCGAGATGCCTTCTCTCATTCATGCAAGGGGTTTTGCCAGCTGTAATGTTTGAAGCAGAAGCATTGGAAAGTTAATATGATTCAAACTCTGAGTGGATAACTTTTTAACGACACCTTTGCGCATATTGTGTGAAATCCTGTATGACTTCGGTCATAGTCCTGTTGCAGTAGGAGTTCCATTGTGACATAGAAACTGTGCACCATGCTCTGTTGTATTCTCCATGATGTTAACCCTCCTGTGCTGTGCCCTACTGTAGGTGTGACCCCACGGTCAGGCTGGGCGGTGGACCCCTTTGGCCACAGTGCCACCATGTCCTACTTGCTGAAGAGGGCCAACCTGACCAGCATGCTCATCCAGAGGGTCCACTACTCCATCAAGAAGCACTTCGCCTCCAGCCGCAGCCTGGAGTTCATGTGGAGGCAGTCCTGGGGTCAGTGGCTGGCTGGTTTGCTGCCAGGAAAACCATCTAATCTATTTACACCATAATGTGCTTATCTCTCTGGATTGCAAATTTCCAATGAGCGCTGCCACTCTGGACGGCCTTTCAAAGTCAAATTGAGGTTGAGGGAAATGTTGCAAGGGTCACAAGTGGCCAATTTTATTGTTTGGACTAAGAACAGTAATAGTTGTTTGTTCCTTGCTTTTATTTGCATTGTACTTTTGAATTCACAAAAACACCAAAATAAATAAACTATGTTCTGTTTGTGTTGCCAGACCAAGATTCGGGCACAGACATCTTCTGCCACATGATGCCCTTCTACAGTTATGACGTGCCACACACCTGCGGGCCCGACCCCAAGATCTGCTGCCAGTTTGACTTCAAGAGGCTGCCGGGCGGCCGGGTCAACTGTCCCTGGAAGGTTCCTCCACGGGCCGTGGTGGAGGCCAACGTGGCAGAAAGGTGAGCCCAGCAGAGAGCCTCCCCTTGGCCTTTTACGCCACACTGCTAGGGGGGAGATGTCAGAGCTCTGCAGTAGAGCAGGGAGTGGGGGTGCAGAGAATCATGGAAATATTCAACCGGCTTTGTAGACCTTCACTGCGACTTGCTTATCAATGAATAGTTTTGTGTAGAAAAAAAACGCTTAATGGAACTTTCCAAAGCACACATTCCTGAGAGAGGCTAATGGAAAATAGCTCTCTCACTGAAAGCTATTGATTGCCTTTTTCCTTTTATCCTCCATTTTCTAAGGTCATGTACAGTCATCTATTGTCCTGTAACACTGGCATTGCGCTGGGATGAACTCACACATTTACATTAACATTTGACATTTTAGGCATTTAGCAGACGCTATTATCCAGAGTGTCGATACATTATTTTTATTTTTCCCGTACTGGTCCCACGTGGGAATCAAACCCACAACCCTGGCGTTGCAAGCGCCATGCTCTACCAACTGAACCACACGGGACTACACAACTAAGAGACGATTTAATATGTAATGCGTTTCAAAAGAAGACATTTCCGCACACTGCTTGCAAGCTTTCGCCTTTTCATTCAAATATATGCTTTGACGAAGGTCAATAGACAGAAATGTTGCTATTGCCAGTCATTTCTATATTCTAAAGCAAGCAGTGATCAAGTCAGTGTGCCCGGTTTTTGGTAAGCAATTGGGTGCATGTATTTCATGATACTTGTTTGCTACAACACTTTGCTGAAACAAGGAGCAACAAAGTGTCATCACGTTGTAAAGTATTTTTTAATGCCCGGCCATCCCGTCTTCAGTCAGCTGCTTGTTCCACAACACAAAATGATTTTGTCTCCTCTAGTCTCTCCTATTTTGTCTCCTCTTTCCTGATATCGGCTGTTAGATGTGAACCAGGCTTACTTTTACTTTACTGCTTTTGGGTAAAGTTTGTCATCTTGAAAATGAAGTTGATAAAAGAAAAAAAACTGGTTAAGACTGTTATTTAATTTTCATGACAGTCTTCATCCATAATCGTCAGTTACACGATTATACAATTACAGTGCCAGCCCTACTGTGACCTGAGTCACTCTCTCCACCCCAGGGCCCACCTGCTCTTGGACCAGTACCGTAAGAAGTCCAAGCTGTTCCGCAGTAAGGTGGTTCTGATTCCGCTGGGAGATGACTTCCGCTACGATAAGGCCCTGGAGTGGGACCAGCAGTACCTCAATTACCAGAGACTCTTTGACTACATGAACTCTCACCCTGAGATGCACGTGCAGGTATGTTCGTTTTAGTTGATATTTGATTAATTCTAAAATGTAATGTCTCACCTGTATGGTCCTGTGTGTCTCCAGGCCCAGTTTGGGACCCTGACCGAATACTTCACTGCGGTTTACAAGGCCAACGGTGTGCCCCAGGGTGCCAGACCCCCAGAATACCCGGTGCTGAGCGGGGACTTCTTTGCGTACGCAGACCGCGAGGACCACTACTGGAGCGGATACTACACCTCCCGGCCTTTCTACAAGAGCATGGACCGCGTGCTGGAGTCCCATCTCAGGTAAGGCCAGATATAAACAGACAGACATGGCTTTAGTACATCTGTAAAACAGCAGGTTGGTATCTGCGCCTTACTCAGTCTTTAATTCAACAATGTAAGCCACATGCGTAGGTTTCAAAGGCAAAATCATTGTAAGATGGAGACCTGTCTGCACACAGTCAAAGTTAGGAAAAATCCCAAAACGTTATTCTGTCTTTGTTAATTTGTTCCTCTGTGCTGTTCCCCAGGGGGGCAGAGATCCTGTTCAGTTTGGCTGTGGCCCACGCTCGCCACGTGGGAATGGAGGGCCGCTACCCCACGTCAGACTACACACTGCTGACGGACGCTAGGCGCACCGTCGCCCTGTTCCAGCATCACGATGCCATCACAGGCACCGCCAAGGAGAACGTGGTCATCGACTACGGCAACAGGTCAGTTGCTAAGAGAGAGAGACAGAATAGAGAGTATCTTTTTCAACTTTAAAAACTTTTATAAGGAAAAGTATTCACTAGTTTTCTTTTTTTTCTTTCTACATCCCTGCCTTTGTGACCACTGGTCTGAAAATAAAAATCCCACTATTTTACACTTATGTCTCAAACTCAGTTTAATGGTTCTGAAGGAACAGAGAAAAGAGACGAGGCTAAGTGGCCATTCAAGAATACTAGGATAATGTCTCATTGGTCCTTTGTCTCTCCTTTAGGTTACTGCGCTCCCTGCATGGCCTGAAGAGAGTAATCATTAATGCAGCCCACTTCCTGGTAATGAAGAACAAGGACGTGTATCGCTTCTACCAGACAGAACCCTTCCTAGAGACGGTGAGGGATGACCGGGAGACATGGAGCTCTAGCAATGCATTACAGTGTTAAAATAACTCACATAAGCCCAGCTTCTTTTGTATGTTAATTTCCCATCGGATGCCTTGTTGTTGACTGTATATCAATCGAGTTGTGATCTACTCCTACTCAGTGCTTCTCTAGTCTAGTGACAAGCAATAAGTGCATTTCTGACTCTCATATACAGTGCCTTCAGAAAGGAATCAAATCAATCAATCAATCAATCAATCAATCAATTTTATTTTATATAGCCCTTCTTACATCAGCTAATATCTCGAAGTGCTGTACAGAAACCCAGCCTAAAACCCCAAACAGCTAGTAATGCAGGTGTTCAACCCCTTGACTTATTCCACATTTTGTTGTTACAGCCTGAATTCAAAATTGATTAAATATATATTTTTCTCACCCATCTACATACAATACCCCATAATGACAAAGTGAAAACATGTTTTTAGAATTTATAGCAAATGTATTGATAATGAAATACAAAAATATCTCATTTACATAAGTATTCACACCCCTGAGTCAGTACATATTAGAATCACCATTGGCAGCGATTACAGCTGTGAGTCTTTATGGGGTAGTCGCTAAGAGCTTTGCACAACTGGATTGCACAATATATGCACATTATTCTTTAAAAACATTATTCAAGCTCTGTGAAATTGGTTGTTGATCATTGCTAGATAGACATTTTCAAGTCTTGCCATAGATTCTCAAGCCTATTTAAGTCAAAACTGTAAGTAGGCCACTCGGGAACATTGAATGTCGTCTTGGTAAGCAACTCCAGTGTATATTTGGCCTTGTGTTTTAGGTTATTGTCCTGCTGAAAGGTGAATTTGTCTCCCAGTGTCTGTTGGAAAGCAGACTGAAGCAGGTTTTACTCTAGGATTTTGCCTGTGCGTAGCTCTATTCCGTTTATTTTTATCCTAATAAACTCCCTGCCAGATAAAAAGGATACCCATAACATGATGCAGCCACCACCATGCTTGAAAGTATGAAGAGTGGTACTCAGTGGTGTGTTGTTGGATTTGCCCCAAACGTAATGCTTTTTATTCAAGACATAAAGTTCATTTCTTTGCCACATTTTTTGCAGTTGTACTTTAGTGCCTTATTGCAAACAGGATGCATGTTTTGGAATATTTGTATTCTGTACAGGCATACTTCTTTTCACTCTGTCATTTAGGTTAGTGTTGTGGAGTAACTCCAATGTTGTTGATCCATCCTCAGTTTTCTCCTATGACAACCATTAAACTCTGTAACTGTTTTAAAGTCACCATTGACCTCATGGTGAAATCCCTGAGCGGTTTCCTTCCTCTCTGGCTACTGAGTTAGGAAGGATTCCTGTGTCTTTGTAGTAACTGGGTGTATTGATTCACCATCCAAAGTGTAATTAATAACTTCAACAAGCTCAAAGGGATATTCAATGTCTGCTTTTTTTGTTTTTACCCATCTACCAATGGGTCTCCTTCTTTGCGAGGCATTGGAAAACCTCCCTGGTCTTTGTGGTTAAATCTGTCTTTGAAATTCACTGCTCGACTGAGGGACCTGACAGATAATTGAATGTGTGGGGTACAGATATGAGGTAGTCATTAAAATCATGTTAAACACAACTCCATGCAACTTGTTATGCGACATGTTACGCAAATGTTTACTCCTCAACTTATTTAGGCTTGCCATATCAAAGGGGTTGAATACTTACTGACTCAAGACATTTCAGCTTTTAATTTATTAATTTCTAAAAACATAATTCCACTTTGACATGATGCGGTATTGTGTGTGTGTGGGCCAGTGACACAATGTCAATTTAATCAATTTTAAATTCAGGCTGTAACTCAACAAAATGTGGTAAAAGTCAAGGGGTGTGAATACTTTCTCAAGGCACTGTATACTTCTGTGTTTGTGACTATAGGATGATATGCGTGCCACCCAAGACTCCCTGCCCCAGCGCACCCTTATCGAGCTGGACCAGTCAGGACCTAGGTAACCCCCTCCTCCCCTCTGCCTCAGTACAGTCTCTCATGGGTGGAGTGTTTGACTGATATCCCCCTGTCTCTCTCTGTTAGGTACCTGGTGCTGTTCAACCCAGTGGAGCAGGACAGGCTGTGTGTGGTGACAGTGTTGGTGAACTCTGCCAGGGTCCGGGTGCTCACAGAGGACGGACAGTCCCTCCCCGTACAGCTCAGTGCCCAGTGGAGCTCTGCTAGCCAGATGAGCGCAGAGGGCTTCCAGGTGTGTGTGTGTGTGTATGGTTGCTGGTTTAATTTGTAGCGTTCTCAGTGACTATTTAATGGGCATTGCTTGGTACTTCATTTGACAGATGCATTGATATATGTGTAGCATGAGTGTCTGCCATGTGTGTATGTTTAACTGTTTTCTCCTGTCTGCAGGCCTCCTTCATGGTGCGTCTGCCTGCCCTGGGCCTGGCTGTGTTTCACCTGTATGACTCTGCTGACACCCCCATGACGCTGCGCTCTGAGACCCTGCTGAGGCTGTCTGGTCAGGGGCAGACTGCCCACGCCGTGGACCCCCTCCCATTGCGCTCCCAGACAGCAGACCCACAGCCCTTCTACATCTCCACCCAGTCCCTCACACTGGGCTTCTCTGGAACCACCGGCCTGCTGGAGGTATGTGGCGGGGAAGAGGCTTGCGGCCCAAATGGCACCCTTGAGGATGCAGCCACTGACTATGCTTTGTCTCTAACAGATTGACTGATTTGGAAGTCAGCCTAAACGTTGTGACTAAAATGATCAAATTAGCCCAAGGCCGTTTAATTTGGTTGAAGTGTAATGTATAATTCTCTCTCTCGCTTGGTCTATCAGAGTATCCATCGAAAAGATGACCCCCAGGAGGTCAAGGTTCAGATCCAGTTTGTGACGTACGGTACTCGGTCGTCAAAGGACAAGAGCGGGGCTTACCTCTTCCTGCCTGATGGGAAGGCTAAGGTGAGCTAGCTGCCAATCCCCCCATCTGTACTAGAGCGTCAGGTAGCCTAACGGTTAGAGCACTGGGCCAGGTCGCTGGTTGGAATGCCCGAGCCGACAAGGTGTAAAATCTGTCTGTGCCCTTGAGCAAGGCACTTAACCCTAATTTGCTCCAGGGGCTTCGTACTACTATGGCTGACACTGTAAAACAACACATTTCACTGCAACTATCCGGTGTATGTGACAATAAAACATATTTTTCACCTGTATAACGTTTTAGGCTCAGTCCTAACCTTAACCATTACAGAAACACACTGTCTCTGTCTCGCCATCTCTCAGCCCTACAGTCAGAAGGAGCCTCTGGTGGTCCGTGTGGTGGAGGGCCCTCTCTTCTCTGAGGTAGTGGCTCTGTACCAGCACTTCCAACAGACCATTTGCATACACAATGTGCCAGGTGTGGATGGTCTGTCCCTGGATGTCACCACCATGGTGGACATCAGAGACCAGTCTAACAAAGAGCTGGCCATGCGGCTGGTCACGGATATCCAGAATGACGACACCTTCTACACAGACCTCAACGGATTCCAGGTCAGACCACAATGCACACTTTACACTAGAGTGTCTGACCTTTGGCTTCAACATGTACCTCAATACTGTAATGTTTCCACAGATGCAGCCCCGGCGCCACTTCCTGAAGCTCCCCCTGCAAGCCAACTTCTACCCCATGCCCAGCCAGGCCTACATCCAGGACAGCCAGCTCCGCCTCACCCTGCACTCTGCCCAGGCCCTGGGCGTCACCAGCCTAGAGAGCGGTAGGGAGGGACAACTTATACGTTGTTTTTCTTAATACCTTAGAAAACATCAGGAACACTATCTCTTATGTCTCTAAAGGTGTCATTTAAGAGGGACTGGTAGCAGTTTTTCCTTTTTCATTTACTGTAATGGGGTGACTTCTCTGCTGTTTGCCATTGCAATGTTATCTCTGTTTATTTCTATGGAGCTCATAGAGATAGATAGAGGACTCATCTTTGTATCTGTGCCATTATGGTGTCTGTGACAGCATGGGCAGTGCGAGAGACGGAATTGGAAGTGACACCCCACGCTATTTTTTTTTCTGGTTCAATGGAACCTAAAATGGTGGAAGTCCTCAATGGCAATATCCATACTAAAACGGGTTCTATCCAGTATCTAGAGTCCCCTATCTATCTCTATGATGGAGCTATAAATGCATGTCTCTGCTTTTTCCTCCCTCAGGCCAGTTGGAGGTGATTTTGGACCGGCGGCTGATGCAGGATGATAACCGTGGCCTGGGCCAGGGCCTGAAGGACAACAAGAAGACGGCCAACCGCTTCCGCCTCCTACTGGAGAGGAGGTCCACTGGTAACAAGGTCAGTCAGTCTAAAATCCTCAGATGGAAGGGAGTTAGTTATTGGAGCTACCTGGATTTAGTTTATAGGTGTCATATCCAAGCAAATGAACACAATCTAGTCTGAGGGGAAACAGTGAGTAAGCCGGGACTTTTTCTCAGTGTCTGAAATGTCTCATCTCTCATGCTGCACTCGGTAACCCCTGTCTCCGTTCTTCATTTGTCACCCCCCTCCATTTATTTTGTCATCTCTCTCTCTCTCTCTCTCTGTCTGCTGCTCCATTGCACTCAGCATGATGGCTTCTTTGCCAAACTCTCTGCCATGTTTCACTCTCTCGTCTCCTTCGCCCTGAGAGGCGGGGCTCAAGAGGTAATGTTGCAATGGCAACAGTGAGGTCACTAGCTACCCAGCCGTGGCCGTCTGTCTATGTAATCTGTGTTATAGCTGTTCTTACCTTCTAGTTTAACCTGTATTTAGCTGCCCTGTACCCTTTAGCTCAAAAGTCTGCCGTAGCAGCATTGCAAGCATCCTGGAATTGGATATGCGCTTAAAATGCAAATAATTGTTTTCAGCTCTGCAGTTTCCCTGCTGTGTTGGCTGTTGAAGCTAAGCAGGGTGGGACGGGGTTAGTTATCAGATTTGACCTGTCTTCCTGCCTCCCAGGTGGTGGACAGCGGACCAACCAGCTTCCCCTCCCTACTCAGTCACATGACCTCGGCCATCCTCAACCACGAGGTGCTGGCGCTGCCCGTGCTGCCCAAGAAGCGTGGCATCCCTCCCTTGCACACCTTTGCCCCCCTTACGGGGGCCCTGCCCTGTGACTTCCACGTGCTCAACCTGCGCAGCATCCAGCACCAGGTAACTAGAAGTGAAGAAATAATTGTCCTGTTTGTGGAACGTCAATATACTGGAAGATATAATACATTCTGTGCGCTTACCATTGATGCTAACATGTTTGTGTGACTTGTAGCAGGACACCCACTCCCCATCTCCCTACACGGCCCTCATCCTGCATCGGAAGGGTCTGGACTGTGGCCTGGAGACCCCCAACCCCGGATTCAACTGTACCACTACCGAGGGACAGGTCAGTGGTCCTCAACAACACACACACACACATGGATCACCACATACACAACTGGGGGGGATAGTACAGTGTGTTGCACAGACACATACACTACTGCAGTTGGAGTCATTCTAGCAGTCTGGAAAGTTCTTCTCTGTGTTAGACATGAGGACTGACTGGGCAAATCTTTCTCTCATAAACACTCTTTCTACATCCTCTCTTTCACAAACCGTATCCATCTCTCGCTCTCTCTCGCTCCCTCTCCTTGTCTGTTCCTCTAGCTGGGTTTGTCTTCTCTGTTCCGTAACCTGGACCTCCAGCTGCTGCAGCCCGTGTCTCTGTCCCTGATGTACTCCAGCCCCCCTCTGGCCAATGACTCCTCCGTCAGCCTGGAGCCTATGGAGATCTCAGCCTTCAGACTCAAACTGCGCTAGCCAGGCCCAGATAAACACCTCTACACCAGACCAGACCCACCCAGGCCAAGCCTGGTCCCACCTGGTCTTGCTCTGTTCAGTTCTAGTCTATAGGAAGACTGCCTCCCAGTGCACAGAGGGGTGGCCAAGCTGGGGCTTCCTGGTCCAACCTGTGTATACAACACACTACACTACAACACTCTACACTACACTACACCACTCTACACTACACTACACCACACCACTCTACACCACACTACACCACTCTACACTATACCACTCTACACTACACTACACCACATACACCCTGAACTGTAAAGTCAGCTTGGAAGAACAGGTGTCCACCATGACTAGACTCGACCTGCAGGGGGCAGATGGCTGTCACAGACACACAGTGGCTGTCTCCAATCTATCTCAGAGAACCAGAAACCTTTGGTGATTTAGTTTTTGTGCTTGTGATAATAAAGGTGATGTCTTTATCACAGAACAGATACTGGTGGTCTTCTGCCTTTGCATTGCAGTAGTAATGTAAAGTTAGTGGAAACATAATTTTCTTTCAGTTTTTAAAGGAACTTTATTTGTTTTGTTTTCTTTAAAAAATAAATCTAATCCTGGACTAACTACTGAATGTAAATATCACAAGGATAAGGACCTGGGAATGACATGGCGACCTAGTGCAATTTGTAAAGCTTTATTTTTGCCGCATTCACGTGCTAGTCAGAACTAGGAAACTGGTTGTAGTTATACACGTGCCGCTTTCAACCAGTTAGCAAGTCAAACATTTTCGACTTGTTCCGACTAGCATGTGAACGCGGCATTAGTTTGGACCGTTTTTTTTCTTCTACTATGGAGCCCATCCACCCGCTGCAGACTAGAGAACTGTTAACTCCATTACGAGCTCATCACTGCTCATTGTTTTTATTGACTGTATTGACCGACTGAATGCAGCTGTGTACTACCAGTGTGAATGTGTGCGCTCTCTATCTCTCTCTCTTTCTGCAGTAGAGGAGCCGAGGCTATGGCTCTGTAAGATACTGTATGTCAGGCAGTCAGTCACTCTGTACTCACTCTCGATAGAAATCCCAATTCCCACGCTATGTTTTTGTTTTTAGTCATCATTATCTCCCTGTTGCATGACTGTAGGCCTGCTATCCTTTCAACCCCCCTTTGCTCGTAGATGGTCTGAAGACTTTCAAACTATTGTTACGTGAGCCTGTCAAAGCTATCATGTCCCGATGAGTTGGCTGTGGAGGACCTGTGATGGAATTGAGTTATGTTTGTATTTAAATGCTCCTAAATCCATTCCTGTTCTTTGTGTGTGTACGCCAATCGATGGACAAATGGTGGTGTGTACTATACTGAATGCAGTAGAAGAAACTACTATGATGACGATACCTCATATTTAACATATGACACATTGGTTTGTATAGTATATTGATGTGGAAACTTCTGTGAAGATACAGTATGCCAGAGGAGTACTGAGATCCAGAGTGCAGTATCAGGGACAAGGTGTCTGTTCATAGAACTGTACTGCTAATCATCATTAGTGAGTCTGTGTAGTGGTGGTGGAGCATCCGGCTTTCAAAGCCAGGCATGGAGAGCCCGTCTTTGCAGGCAGGATCGTGGTTCAACCTTCCCTTCATGATGATGTGGAGACATGGTCCGTTGAACAAACAAACAGGGATCCTTCAGGACTGACTTTGACAGCCAGTGTACTGGTGCAAACAATTTTTTTTTTTTTTTTATCCGCTTTCATCATAAAACATCTCTATAGCCTTGACCCTGGTGGGGTTAAGATACTCTGTCTATGATTCATATCTGCCTTTGGTGGTGGTGTGGAAGGCTAAACATCAGTAGCTAACATCAATAATGGCAGATGCACTGTTTATATCAGTCATCTCTGCCATTTCTCACTATGTTTCTCCTCTACCTTCTCTTCTCTTCATCCATCCTACTATCCAAAGCTATATTTCCTCTGTGCTTTTTATATTTTTTCACCCTGCTGTGTTCTGTTACACCTCCTTCACCACTTTCCGAATGTTTTACACTCCTCCTCACTCAGAACACACTTACCTCCAGTCCAACATTTCACTCAACAATGCTCAGGCACTAGCCTGGCCCCATACACCGGATGTGCTGTAGCCAACTCCTCTATTGATGTCATACCATCTTTGGTATGAGAACAAAGGAACAGAGAGGAGTTGGTTGTAAGTATCAACAGACTGGACCACCAGACTACCAATGTAGCCTGCATCACTTTTCATCATCAGCACTTCCACGCTGTCTTTTCAGGTTGCATTTTCCCTCTGGCTATATGTCATGACACTACCACTGTACCTAGTACGGCACTCCCCCCTCTATCTCCTAATGTCTCTGTGTGTGTGTGTGTGTCTGAGTCCCTCTGTAGACTTGTCTTTTGTATGTGATATTTGTTGTAGCACTTTTTTGTTAAGACAGAGTTTATGAAGGACTTATTTCTTCGTGGATGTGTGTTAAAAAAAAAAGATGCATAGAAGAAAAATGCAGACGCGTTGGAGTCAGAATAAAGATGAAATATGAAACTTGGTGTGTTTAGCCACTGCATATTTGTCTCTTATCACCAACCCTTTATGTTAACACCTTTTTATTAACTGTTTTTTTAGCTACTGATCTCTAGTTTGTCGAACTTGTTGAAGGGGGCAGTAGGGGACAACACTAAGTTAGTTTAGGGGACAAGCACCAGCATTAGTGGTGAGCCATGCTGTTCGTCTCAGTCCTATAGAGGTTTTAAATCCTCACCAAGTTGTGATTTATAATTTCAATACAATGAACTTGACATAAAGATGTGCAATTTATTTTATGTTGAATGAAAATAGGTAATTTTATACACTGCTCAAAAAAATTAAGGGAACACTTAAACAACACAATGTAACTCCAAGTCAATCACACTTCTGTGAAATCAAACTGTCCACTTAGGAAGCAACACTGATTGACAATACATTTCACATGCTGTTGTGCAAATGGAATAGACAACAGGTGGAAATTATAGGCAATTAGCAAGACACCCCCAATAAAGGACTGGTTTTGCAGGTGGTGACCACAGACCACTTCTCAGTTCCTATGCTTCCTGGCTGATGTTTTGGTCACTTTTGAATGCTGGCGGTGCTTTCACTCTAGTGGTAGCATGAGACGGAGTCTACAACCCACACAAGTGGCTCAGGTAGTGCAGCTCATCCAGGATGGCACATCAATTCGAGCTGTGGCAAGAAGGTTTGCTGTGTCTGTCAGCGTAGTGTCCAGAGCATGGAGGCGCTACCAGGAGACAGGCCAGTACATCAGGAGACGTGGAGGAGGCCGTAGGAGGGCAACAACCCAGCAGCAGGACTGCTACCTCCGCCTTTGTGCAAGGAGGAGCAGGAGGAGCACTGCCAGAGCCCTGCAAAATGACCTCCAGCAGGCCACAAATGTGCATGTGTCTGCTCAAACGGTCAGAAACAGACTCCATGAGGGTGGTATGAGGGCCCGACGTCCACAGGTGGGGGTTGTGCTTACAGCCCAACACCGTGCAGGACGTTTGGCATTTGCCAGAGAACACCAAGATTGGCAAATTCGCCACTGGTGCCCTGTGCTCTTCACAGATGTTCACACTGAGCACATGTGACAGACATGACAGAGTCTGGAGACGCCGTGGAGAACGTTCTGCTGCCTGCAACATCCTCCAGCATGACCGATTTGGCGGTGGGTCAGTCATGGTGTGGGGTGGCATTTCTTTAGGGGGCCTCACAGCCCTCCATGTGCTTGCCAGAGGTAGCCTGACTGCCATTAGGTACCGAGATGAGATCCTCAGACCCCTGGTGCAGTTGGCCCTGGGTTCCTCCTAATGCAAGACAATGCTAGACCTCATGTGGCTGGAGTGTGTCAGCAGTTCCTGCAAGAGGAAGGCATTGATGCTATGGACTGGCCCGCCTTTCCCCAGACCTGAATCCAATTGAGTACATCTGGGACATCATGTCTCGCTCCATCCACCAACGCCACGTTGCACCACAGACTGTCCAGGAGTTGGCGGATGCTTTAGTCCAGGTCTGGGAGGAGATCCCTCAGGAGACCATCCGCCACCTCATCAGGAGCATGCCCAGGCGTTGTAGGGAGGTCATACAGGCACGTGGAGGCCACACACACTACTGAGCCTCATTTTGACTTGTTTTAAGGACATTACATCAAAGTTGGATCAGCCTGTAGTGTGGTTTTCCACTTTAAATTTTTGAGGGTGACTCCAAATCCAGACCTCCATGGGTTGATAAATTTGATTTCCATTGATCATTTTTGTGTGATTTTGTTGTCAGCACATTCAACTATGTAAAGAAAAAAGTATTTAATAAGATTATTTCATTCATTCAGATCTAGGATGTGTTATTTTAGTGTTCCCTTTATTTTTTTGAGCAGTGTAAATGAAACTGTTGTGATTTACACAACTGAATGCGTTTTATAAATGAGGACCCAGATGAGTCCCGGGTATCAGCTGGCTGTATTGGTCATCCACACTGAGGGTGAGGACAGACAATCTCTGTGGACAGCCAGCCAGGCCAAAGGACCCCAGCAGCTATGGGCTGCACCAGCTCAAATGCTTTTGAGATCACCCCTTTTGGAGGCAGAAACGACTGTGGCAGAGAGATTTCCCCTCTTTAACTCACAAAGAGGAGGGTATTTAAGGGTGATGAAATACTAAATTATTCAGACTGTCAAGCAGGAGACTGCATGTGGAGGAAAACGAGAACAAAAAAGGAGAAAAGGGGATTCAAACCAGATACAGTGGGGGAAAAAAGTATTTAGTCAGCCACCAATTGTGCAAGTTCTCCCACTTAAAAAGATGAGAGAGGCCTGTAATTTTCATCATAGGTACACGTTTACTTTGACAGACAAAAATGAGAAAAAAAAAATCCAGAAAATCACATTGTAGGATTTTTAATGAATTTATTTGCAAATTATGGTGGAAAATAAGTATTTGGTCAATAACAAAAGTTTCTCAATACTTTGTTATATACCCTTTGTTGGCAATGACACAGGTCAAACGTTTTCTGTAAGTCTTCACAAGGTTTTCACACACTGTAGCTGGTATTTTGGCCCATTTCTCCATGCAGATCTCCTCTAGAGCAGTGATGTTTTGGGGCTGTCGCTGGGCAACACGGACTTTCAACTCCCTCCAAAGATTTTCTATGGGGTTGAGATCTGGAGACTGGCTAGGCCACTCCAGGACCTTCTTACGAAGCCACTCCTTCGTTGCCCGGGCGGTGTGTTTGGGATCATTGTCATGCTGAAAGACCCAGCCATGTTTCATCTTCAATGCCCTTGCTGATGGAAGGAGGTTTTCACTCAAAATCTCACGATACATGGCCCCATTCATTCTTTCCTTTACACGGATCAGTCGTCCTGGTCCCTTTGCAGAAAAACAGCCCCAAAGAA